ACAGAATATCATCTTTCCAACGCCATCTAACGTAATCCAATCGTACTTATAGTACGCGGGATACAGTTCACTATGTTCATCTATAGCAAAAATAATGGATTTACTAGACAAATATTCAAATCTTTTGCAATGACGCCCGGTAAACGTTCTGTGGCCTCTTTTGCTCTGCAGACTCATGAGAAAAAAGTAGAATAAATAAGAGTAAACTAATTTTAATGAAATACATTTTCCTTTTAAATAAAGTTACTTGGTGTAGGCCGCTCGTAACCAAACCAATTGTTTTTTTTATTTTTAACAAGTTATTAAAAGAAATTTCTCACTTTTGATTTGCTTACTGGGTATATTTTTTATACTAATTCGGGATACTAAGCTTTTAAGTATGCCATAGGATGACGTCACAGAAGCAGTATATATCGAAAATGCAAAATATTCAATACAAAATTGTGTGATGTGGGGGAAATAAATAGGATTAGAGCATATTAACTATTTAATGAATTTATTAATTAAATATAATGCTAACTAAATATGCCATATTGGTGATAGAAGCCAATGATATATAATGTGACAATGAACCTTTAAATGAATTAAAAATAATTGCTTACGGTTTTTTTCTAATTTTCATTGGAAAATATGATTTAATAAACCCACCATTCTATGTTTAGTTATTAAAATTCATATTGTTCAAATCAGACGTCTTGACCCAAAAATTCTCTAAAAAAAAGCATCTGGGAGAGAGAAATTTGGCATTATTCTATTCACGTATGTATTGAATGAGTGCATAAGTTCGTGCCCGATTTCAAGTGCAAACTAAAATTGAAATTTTTTGGAGAAAGCGCTTTTATTAATCAATTATGTATTCGCCATCATGTTCGGCAATCCACTCCCAACGTTCAACTAATTTACTGATGCCTGATTCATAGAAATCGTGCGGTTTCTCGTTGAAAAAGGTGTCAAGGTGGTTTTTGACGTCTTCCACATTTTTAAATTTTTTTCCATTCAAATTGTTCTGCAGCGATCGAAACAAATGATAATCAGAAGGTGCAATGTCGGGTGAATATGGGGGATGCGGCATGATTTCCCAATTCGTCTCCTTCAGTTTGGCCAGGGTCGGTTTTGCAACATGTGGCATGGCGTTGTCATGATGGAAAAGAACTCCTTTGCGATTGACCAAAATCGGACGTTTTTCATCAATTGTTTTCTTCAATTCGACCAACTCCTGACAATATTTGTTGGCAGTGATCGTTTCTCCAGCTCGCAAGAGCTCAAAATAGCTCACGCCTCGGATATCCCACCAAATGCACAGCAGTACCTTCATCGGATGCAATCCACCTTTCGACATCGGTTTCGCCCCTCCGTGTGGCTGTTTCTATGTTCTTTTGCGTTGAACATTGTTGTACAGGATCCATTTTTTACCACCAGTCACGAGCCGATCCAAAAAAGGTTCGTTTTTGATCCATCGAAGCAAAGAAATTGCTGTTGACATACGGTCCACTTTGTTTTTTTCACTCAACTGATGTGGCACCCATGTATCGAGCTTCAAAGTGTACCCAACCTTTTTTAAACGACGAAACGCAGTTGATTTGTTGACGTTCAATTCACTGGCAACCTCTTCCGTCAAAATACGTGAGTTATTCGCAACTAAAGTCCTTAGAACATCGCCATCAAGCTCAGATGGCCGCCCACTGCGAGGTTGATCTTCGAGGTTAAAATCTCCAGAACGAAATTTCGCGAACCATTTCTATACTGTGCGGAGTGCTGGAGCACGGTCCAAATAAACTTCGCGAATATCTTTAGTTGCAGCGCCTACTGTTTTTCCTTTGCGGAATTCGTATAACGTGACGCATACGATCTTTTCGTTGTCCATTTTCCATGCGTCTTTTCACTAAGCATTTTATGCTTGATTTACAGTTCGGACTGTCACCTTTCCAACGATATATAATATGTATATATTTCTTTCACGAGCGCCACTCTCAAACGATTCGAACGGCATCCAGCGGAATCGGGCACGAAGTTATGCACTCATCATATAATTAATTGTACTGAAAATCAGCGAAATCGAAGGATAGCGCCCTCCAAACGATTTTTAATTTGTAATCCGAAAATGGCAACAGCAATAGTCTAGTAATTAGCATTGCGTACTGTCATTCGGAAGACCAGAGTGCAAGTCCTGGTTCGCTCATTATACACAAATTATAGAAAATTAATGTTTCTAATTGCGGTCACTCCTGGACACCGGAATGTCAAGCCCTCCGAGTGAATTTCTGATAGGAAATAAAAAAGCTCCTCATAAAAATCGATCTGCCCTTCGGAGGTGTTTTAGAAGAAAGTGTAGGTCCTTCTATTACTCGGAAAGTCATCAGTTATGGTCATGAATAGTACAAAGACTTGTTTAACAGTAATTCATGGACTATATATGAAGGTACTAACAAAATATATATATGAATTTATCATAAAAAAAACTGTAAATAAACTTAATATATAAATTATAAAAATATCAAAAACAAAATATATATATATATATATACTCGTATATATATGAAATTTGTTACAAATAATTGAAAAACACACTATATTTTGGTTATTTTCGAAATACCTTTACGTTATTACCAGCGATTCTACACAAACAAAATTTGTTGGTTAAAAAAAAAAGTTTAAAAAGTTTTATTAGTTTCCGTTTTCTTTATCAGTATTAAATAAAATTCGCTATAAAGGTATAATTAAATTAAACTGTTGTTATCAATTGAAACGTGTTTGTTTATTTATGATAGCAATTTTACTTAACGAAAAAAAGAAAATAAAAAAATGTGTGCCAATCAAAGAAGATTTCCGTGGCACTCGAAATGCTTAAAAGGATTTAATTTAAAGATACTAAATTCTGTTTCTACCAACAAAAACAAAAACAGCAAAAAAAAACAAAGTTTCTCTCACTATTTTCTCTATTTTCTAATCAAATCAATAATTAATTAAATTTAGTTATACTTCAATTGCTTAGAGGTAGAGGAACAAATAGCCCAGAAGGCAAAAAATCGTTTTTTAAAATAAGAAAGAAGAGCGGTCTTCGGCCAATCTGAAGTTTTTATACCTTTCATGATCGTATCAAATTTATGTAATTTCTTTTTAGGAGTAAATAAAATGCATTTAAAATATTACTTCCGAAAATTGGAGCTCTAAATGGTGCTAATTTTGCTTATTTACGTATCCCGGATGCCTTGTCACTGAAAAGAGTTTTTTCATAGTTTATAATTGTTTTTTTGACGGATTTTTGATCAAACACTTCGTGTCTGATATAATCGGTTGTATGGGAGCTACATGCTATAGTACTGCGTAAACTTGTTGCCAACGAGATGCCAACTTCATTATATCCCTCTCCCTATTGGCAAAAAACTCGGAGAGCCAATTTTCACAGACCACTCTTGAGGCCAACTTCTCACCATTAATCGCGTTCGCCATGGACAGGAAAAGATGGTAATCACTTGGTGCCGGGTCCGGATTATAAAGTGGGTGCATTAGGACCTCCCATCCGAGCTCCTGGAGTTTCTGGGACGTCACCAAAGACGTGTGTGGCCTGGCGTTGTCCTGATGGAACACAATTCGGCCTCTGTTGATGAAAGATGGTCTCTTCTGGATGAGTGCTGCCTCCAAGCGGTCCATTTGTTGGCAGTAGAGTACCGAATTGAGCGTTTGGCCATAGGGGAGCAGCTCGTAGTAGATGATTTCGATAAAAACCGAACGAACTTTTTACTTGATTTAATATCCCAAAAATTGCGTACAAATAAACAGGCAGTCGGACATGGTTAAATAAACACAGCTCTTTGTTGTTATTGCTGTAACAGTGGAGCAGGTGAAACTAATTTAAATCATCGATGCCACCTAACATCATGACCAGAAAACACGTTTTTTTGACGAGCTCGGAAGAGTGGGAAAGTAGATTAGGTGAGTGGGCTTCAGGGGGCTTGCGGGGTCTCTCGAAGCAGCTCGAGCCTTCATTGGTCATTCACTGGAAGATAGTTTATTAATGTGTTAATGGATTCTCGGCGAATGGCGTTTAAAGTCTGCCAGTACGCCATTTTATCCAGCGGTTCTTACCCATTGTGGAGAATTGTGTCGGTATAGTTAGTAGTCTCTTCATGAGGTGCCGAGGTGGAGGCTCGAGTAAATTTAGGATGTGTACCGTAGCATCCTAGCAGATATTGTGTGTGACACTGTGCATTCTATGCTTCCTTTACATCAGGAGGTCTCCTGATACGATTCTAATGCAGCTTTTCAAACAACGTCTTTGCTAGTTCCCGGCAGCACGGAGTAGTATAGTATACGACCGGCCAGTCAATTGCCCTGTATATTGCTAACAAAATTTCTATGTAAATCCCCCGCGTGTTGGCGGCTAACGATTTGAGAACTTTGTTGCTACGCTGTACTTTAGCGGCCATTCCAGTCGTACGCGTAGTGAAGGAGTGCAGGCTGTCGAAAGTAACTTTGGGTTGTTAGTCGTTGGAATTTGTATGTCATCGACTAACAAGCCGTTACTCTTTCGTTCGGTTGTTGAGAAGCATAGCCGAGGGTTTCGCTGAGTGTAGCTGCACTTGTCGCACAGCGAAGGAGTGGCAAAGGTCAGCGAGATGGCAGTTTAATTGCGAACATAAGATATAATAATCTGACCAGACGCCAATGTCGAAGCTGTAATCGGCATATGGGATCAATGACAGACCGACCCAGTTCGTCATTCTGTTTTGCCAAACATTTTAGTGGGTCTACCGCTGCTGCTTCTTCTTCTGGTACTTACATACTGTGGACCTAAGTTAGCACAGCATTTCTTACTCATGAAGGGTATAAAAAGTACTATTTGTGTAATTAACTTTTAAGCAAGAGACAGAGAGCGCTTTTTGTAATACCACTTATGTCTAACCAACACCAGAACGTTAAGAATCTTATCAGTTAACTAGACTGATAAATTTTCACATCTTTTTTCCAGCAATTCAACGTCGGCGTATACCGAGTGTAGAGCGTAAGCGCTGTAGTGGCTGGAGCAATTGACGTTTAAAAGAACTCAACAGCGGCATTTGTGCGATTAATTCGAAACGAGATCTCGACGCGTGCAAACATTTGCACTGAATGTAAACGGTGCAGCGCGAAACGATATTGTGAAATTGAAGAGTTAAACAAAGAAATTAAATAAAATTCAATTTTTTATTGTTTTGTATATTTTTTTTTTTAAAGTGCAACCAAAATAGTATAACAAATATTTTGCAAAATGAATTGCCTGGAATCGATTGTTAAATATTTAATCTATATTGCCAATATAATATTTTTGGTGAGTTAAACGATTATTTTGTGGAATTAAAAGTGGGTAATAAGAAATATTTGTGTAGTGATTAATGCAATCGTAGAAAAAAAATTAAAAATTATAATAAAATAAATATGATATTTTTTCTTTTTTATAAATGCATGCAAAGGTGTAAAAATATTCAAAATCACTAGTTGTGAAAATATTCTGTGCTAAAAATTGTGTTTGTGTAAATATGTTGATGCAATTCACTTTGCTACTTCACAACAATTTTCCATTATGCCGTTAGGCATTTTGCTAATTATTTTACATTCAGATTTGCATATATGTACACATGTATGTACATATGTATAATTCCAGGTAATAGAATGAGTTGTAGGTGGGAAGTACATACATAGAATTAAAGTGCTTTGAGACTAATGACTATAATTTGCGTAATCAGAGGCAAGTCGCTTCTAGATTTTATCATCTTAAATAATAACACAGTAATTCATCTAATAAATTGCAGTGAAAATTCAACAATTTTGAATTTTATTAATTAATTTATATAATTTTCTACATTACCTTACTTTTTTTTTCTAAAATATAAAATGGTTTAATATTAATTTTGAATAAACGTTAAATAATGCTGTGATAACTTTAAGAAAATTTTTACAATTTCATATTTTCTCTGTGCATGAATTAAACTGTGATAGCGAAAAATTAAATAATTTCTTCATAATTTCATATTTTAATTCACATATTAAACACTGATAACGGGGAAATAAATTTTTCAAAATCCCATATTTTCATTCACAAATCATGCTGTGATAATGAGAAATGAAATATTTCATATTTTTTTTACAATTTCATCTTTTTATTCACAAATCATGCTGTGAAAATGAGAAAATGAGAATAGAAATATTTTTTGATAAAAATAATTTTCATAAGGTGAAAATGGTAGCCAATGTTTCTATTTATCGAATTAGTTTCCGGCGTTTGATACTTGTAAAAATTTTAATCACGCTTTCGTGAAAACTATGTTTAATTTTCCACGCTTATTTCTTACTCTCTACTGGAGTAGACACCGCCTAAGCGATAACAGTGCGTCGTTTCTTCATTGTTTTCCAGATTCTTTCAGCTTAGATAAGATCTTTCTCCTTTTTTGCTTCCACCGACGAGTGTGGCAGCGAATATTTTTAAGGTTGGAGTGCTTTCATTCATTCGGCTGAGCTGTCTCTACATTCGCTGAACCCCAAACGTCAATGTCACCGTCTAACTCGTCCAGCTCATCTTTCAATTGGCCGTGATACACGAAGTTGCCAACTCGCAGAGGACCTTAAATCTTACACAAAATTTTTCACTCGAAAACTCGCAATGCCGACTCTTCAAATGTATTCATCGTTCGCGCCTCCGTACCATATAGTACACTTACAGAAATTGATTCTTCCTCATGAAGAGAGGACTTTACTTAACAAGTATCAACTCAGTTCAAAGTAACATCTGTTTGAAAGAGTGATTCTGCGTTGGATTTTTCGACTGTTTGCTGTAAAGATAGACGAAATTATTCACAACTTCAAAGTTATGACCTCTCACAGTAACCTGGCAGTCGAGTCGGGAATATAATGACTGTTTGTTCGATGACAGGTGGAGTTTCGTCTTGCTCTCGCTCGCTACCTAACCCATACGCTTCGGAGGAAGTAGAACTCTGGAGGAAGTAGAACTCACGGCATATATCAGCAGCTTTACACTAGTATAGAAAAATTAAATGTATCTTCTCTGTTCAGCTTTGCAGCTCGTATTATTTTCTCAAATAATAGGTTATAGAAGTCGAACGGCTCGGAGAAATCTTTAGAAACAACTGTTTCATCATCATCGATTGGCGAATTGGGTTATCTATGTCTAGCTGTACCATTTTCACTGCCACTCAGCGGGCTGGAGAAGTGTTCCCTCCTCAATTTCAGTATACTCGGTGCAGCAGTCACTAGATCACCTCTTTGTGTTCTACAACAATTTGCTCCGGTCTTGAAACCTTCTGCAAGTCTCCACGACATTTCATTGAATTTTCGGGCTTTACCCCTATCGGCAAGCTTCTTAAGCACTTCCCATTCACGTATCTCTTCCTCTTTCGTAGCTATGAAATATATACATATTTTTTGTTTGTTTTTCAATGAAAACTTTTACGATCAAAGTTTCACAGCACGCAAATTAAACCGCAGAAAAGTGAGTTTCCGCTAAAAGGCATTAAGTTAATTGACGTGTTCGTTGCAGTTATCAAGATCTTTCGAAAATTGATAACAGCCCGCTGTCATGAGTCAGATGAGAGTTGAAAAAAAAGCTTTAAGGCGTTCTGAAAGATAAAGTAACTTCCGTAAAATAATTCATTATTAACTTACACTTAATTTTTTTTTTATTCAAAATCATTATTTTTTTTTTACTTTTAAAATATTTTGCTGTTTCTATAATCAGAAAAAATTTTTTTTTTTTTAGAAAAGAAATTTAATTTTTTCTGCAGTAAGATTTAAACGTACTATTCATCATTTGTTTTATAAATAAAGCAACTTACATATTTAAAAACCATTAATTATCAGTTGAAATGGCGTTTCGTGTTCCCTTTTCATTTTCAATTCATCAATTAGACGCTATCAATTGTCACACTGATAATGGGACTGTTGTTATTTACTTAAAAAATTTGATGGAAATATTGTAAAAATTGATAAGAAGAATTAACTTATTTTTTCTGTTAAATATTTGTAAAAACAAAATATGCCTCATAACAAACTTCGGCCAACGTCTTTCATGCAAAACAAAAACCATCAATATTTAAATCATAAAAGACTAATAAAAAGTGAAAATAGAATGGTTTTTGTTTAGCAGAAATCTCTATTTCTAAAAACTCCAAACATATTTCGCGTTGCTTACATTATTCAATAATTTTTAAAAATTTATATAAACTCGTAAACAAGACAGAAGTGCTTTGGCGGCAATAGACGAGTGGTTAGCAATTTGTACTGGCAGGAAGCGAGTCCCAATTCGCCCAAGATCAAAATTATAGAAAATTAATTTTTTCTAATTGTGATCGCCCCTCGACAGGGCATGTCAAGCGTTACAATTGTATTTCTGACATTAAATAAAAGCTCCGTCCAAAAAAGCATAGGTCAGATCTGGCCGGTTCCGACGAGTGATAAAATGTAACAGTGTATATACACGGTGTGTCCCAAAAATAACCGAACTTTATATTTAAATCATACAACATACAGCGCCATCTATTGAAAACTTTCAACATTAAAAAGATACATTCATCCTCTTTCAAACGCACCTAACATCATGTAAGTCGGATGACAGATGTAAAAGTGACAGCCATTTCAATAAAACCAAAGTTTGCTAATGGTTCAAAAATAAAATGGAACAAAAAGCAAATAAAAAATTTTGTGTCAAACTTGAAAAAAAATTAATGAAAAAAGTTTATTGTAATGATTGTATGAGTCGTACGCAAGTTTGTACGTGGTTTACACGATTTAAAAATGGTCGTGAGGATTTAAATGACGACTCTAGAGCAGGACGTCCAGAAACTAGTAATCGTGCTGAACTGGTGGAAAAAGCCCGTGAAATCATTGGTATCGATGCAAATTTTACTACGAGAATGTTGGCTGAGGAATTTAATACGAGTAAAAACACTATTTGGAGAATTTTAACTGAGGATTTGGGGGAAAGAAAGGTCTATGCGCGATTTGTTCCACATGAATTAAATGACGATCAAAAAATCGCTCGAATTTTTAATGAAAAAAAGGATTTCTCTCATCGACCATCCTCCGTATTCGCCTGACCATGTGACTATTTTTTATTTCCAAAACTGAAAACCAAGATGAAGGGAGCATTTTATGATGATATCCCATCCATTCAAGCAGCCGTAACCGAGCTACTGTAGATATAGAAATGACATACAAAAATCTATGCATGCGCTGGTTGATCGTTCCAAACGCTGTGTTGAGTCAAATGAAACCTATTTTGAATAAATAATAAATTTCAAAGATAATATAATGTGTATTTTATTTTATATCCAAAAAGCTCGGTTATTTTTGGGATACACCGTGTATGTACCAAATTCGGTTGATATATATCTCAAAACTGCAGGAGACTAGTTAACGTACAAGCAGATGAGCAGATGCACATGAATAATCAACTCAGTTCGTAATTCATCTCTTCTCCCGCTGTACCAAAGTCAATGTATTTACCATTTTAGGTACATTTAAGGTATAAAAAATAGGCAAAAATCTCCTTTTTAGTTACTTCAAAGATATTTTCATTTTCACATTATTTCATTAATAAGTTGAGACTTGAAGATCTCTCAAAAGGTCATCTCACGGCGGGCATTAATTTACTAAAAAAAAAATTTTTAAATTAATGGCAACAAAATAGTTTTCTCTAAGCAAAAATTTCATTTATCAAGCACCTCAAAGATATAATATTTTCATATATATAACAGTTTCGTTTTTAAAAGCAACTTGAAGCAAGATTAGATAAGTCTCTCGAGAGATGTTCCGAGTGCACACAAAGTTTATACGAAAATTGCGTGATAAGCGTAGAAAATTGAATAAAATAAACAAATAAATAATAAAGCTTATTATATTTTTGTACAGCAACATTTTTATTACACCAGCATTGTTATGTAAGCGTAGTTAATATTTAAATAAACATTAATGGAAGCATGTAAAATGGTATGACACTTTCGACCTTGACACTCTTCGCCACTTCTTAATGGGAACTCCTCTACACTAGAGAAGCTTCAATTTTATTTTTTTTAAAGAACCTCAGGAAATTGTAAGAACTTTTTTCGTAAATATCTTATTAATAAGTTTTATTTTTTTTTAATGTGGAATGGTATATTAACTTTGGTCCGAATTATTTAAGTACCAGAGGAAGAAGAGATAAGCAGGCAGAAGAACAGCTTCTAATAAATTTATGTACTTTTGACGGTCCATGCGAGCCTCGCAAACGAACATTTCGTCGACACCATCAGCAGCCATGCAGCCCCAGATCATAATGCTGCCTCCTCCATGCTTCACAGTAGTTACCACGCAATCTGGATGATATTCTTCGCCAGCCCGTCGTCTTGCGAACGTCACACCAGGTGTTCCAAATATCTGTAGAAAAGAAAAAATAATGTTTTCATAAGATTTGTGTCTTCAAAATTGCTCTAGGATAAGAAGCTATGGCTGCTAATACTTTAAGCTTACCTCGAAGTTTGATTCATTAGACCACAGAACATTCAACTAATCTTCTTTCGTGAAATTTTGGTATCGGCGAGCCTATTCCAAACGATTTTTCCCATTCTTTTCTGAGAGCCACGTCTGCTTTCGGGCTTTACATCCTCTTAAACCCCAGAAGTCTTTTTCTAGCTGTTCGAGCACTAACTGGTTTACTTAAATCATCCGAAAGGGCAGCTACAAGGGCAGAAGAAGATTTTTTGCGATTCCTTGAGAGACTCGCGTATAAGTATTCGATCTTCGCGTTTACTGTTTAGATGCTTTCTACCATTTTTTGATTTTCCAATTATCGAAGCATGTCGAGTAGTCACGTTCTGGTATGGACTTTAGAGAGCGCGCCGATCCACATTTCATCTCTTCAATCGACTCAAAACGGTGTCCTCGAAGTGGTCTTTTGAGTTTTTGGAAGAGCCACATGGTCACATGGTGCTAAGCCCGGCGAAAACGTTGGTTGGGGAACGATATTCGTGGATTTTTTTTAGCGAAACAGATCCTTGTGATATTCCAACCATATCAGTAAAGTCGATCGACGATTTTTGAGCACTAATTTCTTAATTTCCTTGACGTGTTGCACATCAGTTGACGTTGATGGTCGTCCAGAGTGTTCCAAGTCATCAACACGTTTCGAAATCGAGACAAACCCTTCATTATGTTCTGAGACTGTCTCATAATTCCGATAAAATTGTGGTTCTCTCGCAAGCGATCATAAATAGGGAGTTGAAACTTATAGTAACGAAATATCGCAAATGATGAGTCCGATAACTTTCTGCATACAATGTACTATATTTACCATCCGACCGATTTTTTACTTTTTTATTTATAATGTTTTCTTTTTCGATTCTCTCACTCACAGGTATGTGGCATACTCATCATTGTCCTGGGTTCGCTAATGATTGGCAATATTGGCGATTTCTCATCGTTTGAAGACGCCATCAATATCAATACATTGCCTATTATAATTATTATTTTGGGTTGTATAATATTTGTCATTTCCTTCTTTGGCTGTTGCGGTGCGATACGCGAGAATTCTTGTTGCATGACAATGGTAAGTGATTTATTTATTTTTAAATATATTATTTACATATTTATTAACTTTTTTTTTAATTTCTCCTACAGTATGCCGTCTTCATGTTCATCTTGTTCTGTCTACAAGTTGCTTTAGTGGTTTGGGTATTCGTTCAACGCGCTGAATTTTTGAAAGCCATGAGCGATCTGGTCGATACAGCTTGGAAGGAGAATAACACGGCCAATGGTCATCCAATGAATGCTTTACAAATAGGCGTAAGTAGCAATATACTACTGATTTCTTGCACATACTGTAGTTGTAGTAAGTGCATATATTAATTTTGAATTTCTTCTTCAGTTCAAGTGTTGCGGCAAAACAGATTATAGGGATTACACAAGCGCGGGTGTTGCTGTGCCTGTTTCATGTTGCGGCTCGCTCGATGCCACATCGTGCCCTGCGAGTATTTACGAAACGAAGCCTGGTTGCAAGACGGAGTTCGTCGACTTCTGGGCAACGAATACGAATATTATCCGTTATGCTGGTATAGCTGTGGCCGCGATTGAATTGGCGGTATTCACGATAGCTTGTTGTCTGGCGAGTAGTATGCGTAATTCTCGCCGAAACTAAGAAGTGTGGAATTCATATGCGTTATACATACATATAAATAGTTTTGTAAATATTTTTATATGCAAAAAAAAAAAAAAGAAATTGCCGAAGAATGTATTAACAAATGTACAAGAAATTATACAATTTAAGTAAAAATAATTAGTTACTTTATAATGTTGAACTTTTTTTTTCTAAATATACGCTTGATACTATGTATTTATTAAAAATACATAAAAGAAGAAAAAATAATTGAATTGAATTGAAAAGGTATAACAATTTATTAGGTCTAGTAAAAATAAATCCATTATTTGTGCATTACATTCATTATGACTTTCTGCCTGCCCCATAGAAACACTTGTCCTTATCGGCAAGAAAATGGAAAAATCGATTTTCACAGGCTTATATTAAGGACAATTCTTCCTCAGCCAAATTCCTTCAGATGGTAATCACTTTTGCGCAGTCCGGATCAAAAGAGTTTGGCCCTCAATCCTGGTATGCAGACTGTTGGTGAGAGCTCACTGCCTTACGACTACGACCGTTCATTTGATTTTATTGTAAGTGGTTCGCTTTACATCAACAGTTATGCGCATTAGAAATTGGTCAAGACGTTTTATCTCGTTAACTCATCTGGCACTCATCTGAATATCTATTTAACTGACAATTTATAACCGCTGAAGCGTTAGTAATCGACATCCTCCCCTAATTTGCGGTGTGCGTCTTGACGTTCTCCAACAAATGGTGTAACCTATAGTTTATTCTTAGCCGCCTCCGAACGGACGATGGATTTTTAGGAGGAGCTCTTCATTTCATATCAGAAATACACGCGGAGGGCTTGACGTTCCAGCTTGACGTACCGAGTGACGACTGCAATTAGAAAAAATAATTTTGTATAAGATTGGATGTTGGTCGAGGGGGCTTGAACCACGATCTGCAATTCTAACCACTTTGCTGCTGGACAATTGACATAGTGCTCGCTTGCCGTTCAGACTGGTCGGTTTTCATTATTTTATTGACATATTAGACAATTGGCCTTCTTCAGTGTGGTGCATCTTTTACAACAAAATTCCCGGAACGAAATCGTAGAAACCGAAAATGTGCAAGATCGAGTGTTCCTGTATCAGGACCATAAGCACCATTCATATTTTCGGCTGCCTGATTAACGTTTTGACATTTATCGTAGAAAAATTCTAGAATTAAGCGAATTTTCTCTTTACTTTTGCCCATCCTTGACATGCGCCCAAAGACTATTGAGTTATGTGATCCACACTTCTCCCTTCATACTTTTTTAGTACAAAATATCATCTTTCTAGCGCCATCTAGCGTAATCCAGTCCCCTTATGGAACGCGAAATATGGATCACTAAAGTCCTCATTTGCGCCAGCGTTTCTTATTCCAATACCAAAAACAGTTCCGATATGCACTTTTCGGTATGTACTGCAGCTATTTCAGCTCTTTCCTTAACATTCGAAAAAGCTTCTTCAATCTTGTTTAGACAATAAACTCAGTGCGGATCAAATCTAGGAAAAACGGCGACTACAGATGCAATATTGTTAAGCCTAAGCCGTCAATTCATTTTACATTTCAAGGCGTGGGTGAGATATTTTTGGTCAAGACCCTTTTGACTTTTTGACGCCAATGGTAGGAACAAAGTGAGGCCAAACGAAGCGGATGTCTTCTTCCTCCTCTGCCTCCCTCGGTGGACACTGCGTAACTAGTAGAAGTATTTGCTAGTCGAGAAAGAACTCTATTGCCAACTCAGTCCAAAGTAAAAGCTTGAGGAAAGATTGATTCTAAGTTCACATGCTGCTTTTTTAGTGATAGCAGTTATTTTTTACTACCAGACCTATCCGTTTTCTTCAACATACTTATACTTCAGTTATTTTACATTGTTTTTGAATCTTATGGTTATCGCACTTCTGACAGGAACTGCTGATATTGCCATACCTAACAGAGTTAAGATTACTCAATGCGACTTGCTGCAGGGAACTCTTCGAAGAGTATTTAAGAACTGATATAATCGTTGTGAACTTCACGTCAACTTCAATGAGGCGGAGCTCGTTCTATTCTCTAACTGATATAAAGTGTATACAATAAGTCCGCCAACAGTAATATGAAATGGGGCCTCAACGCTAGGATCTGCCATTGGATCTTTACAACTGATGACAGATCAACACTATAGGGTAACTGGTGGTGGCGTTAAACAGGGAATTCAAAGATCAGCATTGATTAAAATGTACTCCTCGATATTTAAAGATTAGACTTATTAGGTTTGCAGATTGCAGCGCTAAGCGCTCTTCACCTAAGGGCCCTAGATCAGTGGAATAATCAACGATTTGTATACTCGTCGAACGAATCCTGGGAATATATAATTTCAAACCTAGTGGCGCTTGCTATTATCAAACGGAAAAATTGAGTAATGACTTTGATACTGCAATCGACAGAGATATATACTGATGAATAGAAATAGAAATCTGGTGGTAGAGTTGTAGGGAGGGGAAAGACTCATCTTTTGAACTCTCTTTCAGGCTACCCGTTTATTGTAGTGTATTTTAAGCTGAATTTTCAAACATTACTGAGGCTAAAAAGTACATTGCAACTGAACTCACCCACAAAGATAAGCTTTTTTCAACGACGGTCGGTATACCTTTGCCAAATGCAAACTGCTACTCAAGGACTTTACTTATAAGCAAACCGAGTTAAGAGAAGAATCACTCTGCTATTTGCAAAGCTGTTAAAAAAACTTTGGCACCGAGAAAGATCACGCGAAATATAGTCTCGCAAAAGAAAGTACAGATTACTGATTGAGAGGAAGACATGCGGTAAGTCTGCGAGTTCTTGATGCTTCGGAAGCTGTAAGAACAATGAAGAGCAAGAATCAGTTTGTAATCTCTTATGTGACTGTCCTGCATTGGGCCGAGTTAGGTTAGCTTTTGTTGATGATTTGCAACTAAGGAAACCAAAGTGGTTGGGCAGCGAAGTTTAGTGATCGGTAAATACCATGCTTTAAGTGTATTGAGGTTTAAACATCGATAGCAACTTCAACATAACCTCACACTTATTTATATATTAAATATAATTGGCGCTTTGTAAACGCTGTAGCGATTTTCGACCGACCTCCTCCAATTTGTGGTTTTGCATCTTGATGTTTCGTCAACAAATGGAGTGACCTACAGTTTATACTAAACCGCCTCCGAACAGCAGACATATCATCTTAGGGTTACCTTCTTTTTGTGGTTTTGAAACCAAACTTTAAATCAGCGAAGAGACACACATCATCTGGATGCACTCCTCATAAGTAATTTCTAAGGTTTAAGGCTTGGTGAGTATCTTATTTATGATGGATCTACCAAGTCTAAAGCCACACTGATGAGGTACCATCAGTTCATCGACGATGGACTTTAATCATTTCTAACGAAAAGAAGAAATTATTCAAAAAGTGGAGACAGAGAATCTTTTTAGGGATTATCTCTAAAGGGTAGGCTTGGGTAATTGCATTCAAAATATAATTTTAATTACTAAACATTTTATTTTGCATTTATGTTTGTTCAAAGAGACGGAGGAGTACTTTATTTTACGTAATCAAATAATACTGGTTTTCATTTGTCATTTGCAATCGCTAAGTCCAAATACTTTGATCCCACCTTAATTGCGTATTGTATGTACATACAGACATATAGAAATTTATATATATAACACATTTTAGTTTTCATATATACATATATACATACATTTTTACATTGAAGTACAATAGTTAGGTATTTATCAATTTTATCTAGTCGATTAAGGCTACCAAAAAAGACAAAAAAAATAAAAATAAATAAAAAAAATTAAAATAATAGATAAATATGTTATGTATATATATTTGGTGATAAAAAACTAACAAAAAAAAAACGTATTTTACTAAAAAGCAATATTTCGGCATTGAGTTCAGTCATTCGAACGAAAGTTACGCGATCAAACGAAATTCATTTTCATAATTTGAATAAATCAAAAAGTATTTATTAAAATAAAAATAAAAAAAATAAAAATATTTCTTAAAAACTTTAAAATAAATAAATATAATTAAAAAAACTAATTTTCAAGTAGTAATAAATTTTCGAAATGGGCTGGTGCGAATTTTTCGTAAAATGGCTGCTTTATGTCTTCAATCTGCTGGCTGTGGTAAGCTGAGTATAAAAACGAAAATTTTCAAATTTCTTTTGGAAATCACGAAAAAAATGTTAAAGCGCACAATAAGAAGTGAATTTTCGGCAAATAGAAAAATATTTTTAAAAATAGTTTCAGCTACTTGTGAAAACATGGAGCTCTCTTATTGGCTGCTGTGTGTGTTCTTTTTTTTTGTAGCCCAAACTTTAGTTTCTCTACAATGAATTGAAGTTACTTTGAAATAAAAAATCTAGTTAAAGTTTGTTGGAGGCATCGGTGATTTTGCTGAGAAATTTTCGAATGTGATTTTTTAAATAATTTTTTTTTTTTTTTGGAGAGATAAAAACTTGAACTTTACAACTTTGATTAATTAGAAGTGAAAGAGTTAAGCGTAAATATACTTTTTTCGGCTCGTACAGATCCGCAGCTAAGATGGTTAAACTTTTTTGAATTTCCTTATGAATTTAGGTTTACTTTTGGGTCTTTACAGCCATAAGCTAACCATACTATGGTGATTTCTCTGATTCTCATTTCCGAGCAGATATGAATACCAAGCCTTTTGAATTCTGTGTGCTCTGCAAGCTGTCTCTTAAAAGAGGTTTTCTAACCCAATTTCAAAACACGCGGGCAGCCTCTATCAATGAATCGTACACGAATGTTTTAGTCTTAAGAAGAATACTTTCTTTTACCTACAGAAAATGAGCTGATTTTAACTATGCAATGGTAAACAACCCGTGTGGAGCTTTGGGTCTCGGCTAAAATATAGAAAATTTGAGAGAACAAGAGTTCAATGAATTCAAATTAAATGTGCGCCAATCAATACTCCGCTTGACGGCGAAGATGTGCGAAAGCAGCAATGAAAGCCTAATGCTTCGCAACAGTAAAAGCTGTGAGAGTATTGGCAATGATCTCCTCGAGCTGTTCGGTTTCAGACAAGGTGATACTTTATCGTGCGATTTTTTGAACTTAGCGCTTGAGAAAACGGTAAGAGCTGAACAACTGAAGAGAGAAGGTACAATCTTCGATATTTTTCCTTTATAAGAGCGCACCACTGTCAGCCTATGCCGATGATATTGATATCGATGCCCTCAACAGCTGCGCTTTAGTTCTATTTTCTTCCGAATGTACAAGCGAAGCAAAGCTAATGGGTCTGGTAGTGAGTGGGGATACGAAGTAATGCAAGCGTAATGTAAATAAACAGATAGTCATGATTCTATCTAGGAACCAGCGTAAACACCAAGCCAAGGGAGCTTCTTTGAATTAACGAGGCAGTTGAAAAGTAAAGTCCTTTCTCGATAAACAAAGTCCAAACTCTACAAGTGGACCTTGACAAAGGGGCGTTGAATCGTCTTTGAGAGTCTTCGAGAGAAATGTTTTGCGTAAAATTTAGGATGATCCGCGTATGGGTGAGAGCGAAGTCGTCAGACCTTGAAAGTCTTAGTTATACGAGTTAAATTGTGACATTGCCATTGAAGCTGGCAACACCGCATTGTTACCGATCAGCTTGCCCCATATTGTTGATTCGGTAATAAACACGAAGCGCTGTCTACGCCAAGGGAGAAGAAAGTATCTGTTTCGAAACAAAATTATTACTGAACCAACATTTAGTCGAGAATGCACGGATTAGGCAACTCCAATGAGCCAACCTTAAATACATTTTTTTGTCCAATGGGGTTTCTTATCGGAAGACAAAGCCTAGCGCATGCTAATCGAAGCCGAAAGCTACTTTTGTATGTACCTAATTTCAAGTAAGTTGAACCATCTTGGAAAAACTGTATCTTATTATTCTGATTCAAGCTCGATGAATGGGTTCTATATAAGTTAAGGAGAAATAATCTCATGGCCCGAATTTCCAATTGCCAATCGCTGCTGAATCATAACGAAATCGACCTATTTCTTAAACGGATTGTGAATGGTGGTGAAAGGTGGTCAAAGGGCAGGCGCAAACGCTCTCCAAGCTAAGATGGTTGACCAGTAAGGTTTTGTTGTGTATTTGGTGAGATTGGCAAGGAATCATCCACTGTGAGCTGCTCCCCTACAACCCAGCTTTAGCCAAAAAGAGGAGAATTGCTTTTCATTGGGATAACGCCAGATCGCACACATCGATGGTTACTCGCCAGAAGCTTACAGAGCTCGGTTGGGAAATTCTTATGCAACCGCCAATTGACCACCATCGGTTCCTGTCTGTGGCATAGGACTTGACTGGTGAAGCCTATCTAAAAAATATTCCATTCAATTAAAAAAACTAGAATGGGAGACAACGTTACTCACGCCTCTTTATGCAAACACAAAAAAGGGCGAAATCAGAAAATACATATTGGAACATAAGTGAAAATTAACAACAAAAAAAAAAACGACTAACAGGTGCGTGCATACACGTAAGCCAAGGTAGAGACCAATTCCATTTGCATGGAAATGAAGGCACTGAGTTATCTATTTGTCACTCTTTGAAGGTGTAAATGATAAGAATATGGATGACTGAAATTACGTACATACATTTGACTCATCGTTTGCCATGCCAATAAACGAGTACAATTTGTTTGCCAACATAATAGATTTTTTTTGGAGGGAATGATTCATTATTATCTAAGTACACTTTTTCAAGAAAACATTATCTTGTTAGGTAGTTAATCAGCTAGTTATTTGAAGTAGGTAGGATAGGTTGAAGTGCTTGCCACAAATCAGGCTCATTGCGATACTACTGAGGATCCTCTTGGCCCTTGGCCGCTAGCCAAACCAATGTGTGGAGTTTTCGAAGCTGAGCAATAGTCGTATCTTGGCCACCGCTTGTCCGCTCCAATCTCTAAAGGGTGTCGCCTTAATAGACTTTCCTCCAACGGGAGTATTCGGTAGTGCCTTCTTTTATCTGAAACTTCTGCAGAAGTCGTTACCTCTCTGCGTGCCTGCTCAATAGAAGATGCCCAATAAGAAGACATATCATTGTAGATATCTGCTAGCTCCTTAGCTGTCGTGCGACCTTCTTTTATCTCTTGCTGGCCATATGGTTCTAGTCACATTAGAGGTATTGAGACTTTTCCATCTTGAGCTATCACCTCACCTTTGATGAATAGTTTAACTATAATGAGCTTACAAGTGAAAACCAAGGTACCCAAACTCTTCCATGATGGAGAAAGTGTAAGCGAAGTAAGCCTATAACAAGCTCGTCTGTAATCTCATTACCCGGTGTGTAACTGTGGCCAGGCACCCATACTTGGTTCAAAGAGAACTGCTTAATGATGCGGGGCAATTTCAGGGCCATGTGACTTGACTATCTGACAAAAAGTTGAATGCTTTTACGACGAGAGAGCTGAGACAACTATTCTGCAGGAAAACCGCTGCAGTGCTCAGTTTTTTATGAGAAAACACCGCTACTGTACTTGTTACCTAGTTGTGACCATATAAAAATGAATCGAGTCTGCCCTTGCATTGATTTTTATCCGGAATAACTGCCGTGCAGTAATCCATATCTCCGACAGACGTCATTTTCTTAAGATATTTAGTATGAACTTACCGCAGCACTATGCCGCCTTACAATGTCGATGGGGAGTAAATCTAAGTGGATATTCATAGCCTCAGTTGGTGTGATAAATAATGCTGCACTAAAAAACAGGAGTGACGTCCTTTGACATTCAGAGATGGTGGATTTTCACTCGAGTGTTGGTCAACAGACTAAAAAAAGGCCTAACAACTCTAAAGTAGCTTCGCTTGTGAGAGCGCTGGTGTTGAATACTTTGAAATTCTATATGTCCCCGTGTTTTCTGATGGTTAATACATAATCCGTCATAATTAGCACACTTTTCTAATCTGCCTAAGTCCGCTCTTCATGACATCACAAAAAGTTTCAGGAATTTGCCATTCACTATAACCGTCAGGTCGTTCGCAAACACTACGACGAAAATGGTTCTTTTAACCAGGAAGTACTAACCACTTCTTTTCTAATGACCATGCAGGCCACTCTCTATACCAAAGTCAGATATCTGAGATAGCAAACTCAACTGGCGCGATAAAATGGGCAGAAAGAACGAGAAAAGCTATAACTGCACTCTTGCAAAGCGGGCAAGAGATTGAGCCAAAAACCAGTCTATCGAAAAATTTACAGCGTGATCGCAGTGTAGGACACGTCAAAATTTATCTCTCGCAGAGTTTGCCGGAGCAGCTTCATTAAACCACCTCCTGCAGATGCTTCGACAACTTCATGTCCATTGGATTTCCAAACAAAAACGAATGAGAAAACACAAACGATTTGGATCAGAGAGCTATGAATATCCTTACAGTTGGCTCGAAACTTGATGACAGTGTAGGCTGTGGGATCCACTAACCGATAACCTCAATCAATATAAGCCTGATACTGCCAAGCCTTCGCAATGCCTTCTAGTAAAACCCACCAAGTCAGCTGACACGCCGGACCAAGACAGCTGACACGCCGGAAGTTGCTAAAAAATAAGGAGGTATTCTAAAGAAGCCCTCAAGTAAATGAGCCCAGTCGTGATCTGAGTGCACGAAAACGGGCACATCCCAGGCAACTGCACCTTCTAACCACAATAAACTCAGCACAAGATACAGCTTTATATTTGGTCAAAGCTCTGACAAAGCACATGCTAAAACACGACTAAATGAGATCACTTGGATTGGGTTTAAGTTTAAGGTTAGGCATGTTAGTTAAAGCATGTCTAGAAGGATTTTATACATTACTAGCCTAACCCTAAACTTAAACTCAGTCCAAGTGATCTCATTAATGTGACTATAGGTATAATAACAGTACACTGTTAAATGGGTCTTCACGGGCTGTAGGAACAAATAAGTTGAAGCAAGAGGTTCTTAACTCTGCCACTTTAACTCTGGCACTGCCACCAGCCTTCATTACAGTTAGCTTCAGCAAAAATCAGTAATCTCATTCTTTTAAAATGATCAGTAAAAGGTCCGCACATTTAAGAAGGTGATAGGAATCTATTTCGTTATCCAACAAGGCTCAGCATTACAGAGAGAAGCGATATGTTTTGCTATTATACTTTTAAAATGATTTCGGGAAAGGGACCACCGCGGCTGCCTCGAAAAGATTCTAGCCGCGAGACTCATTTTTCGAGCAATTTTTGAACATTTTGGGCCGCACCGAGTATTTTCTTCAAAGGCATCAGTGTAGACAAGTAATCTCCTACAACACCACAAAAAATAGTCCAGTGAAGTTAAATAGTACGATATTGGAGGCCACGTCACAGGCCCACGACACGAGATAATGCGCACACCAATAGTTGCCTTCAACAAATTGATTCTTTCGTTGGCTCTATGACATGCAGCGCCGTGATGTTGGAACCTAAGGGCATCCACAGCAACATCCACCAATTCCCCATTGACAGTAACACTATGGGCGGCCTCTTTTATTTTATTTTTTTTTTGAAGAAATATGTACCAATGATTCCCTCTTACCATAGTGAAAGCCAAACAGTCGCTTTTTGGGGAAGTAGCGGCATCTTATCAATGGCTTGTGGATTTTCCTCACTCCATAGGTGACAGTACTGTTTACTAACGTACCTATTTAACCAAAAGGGAGCTTCATCGCTGGACAAAATTTTATTGTGAAAATTGCCTTTCACGTTTTCTAGACGTCCACAATGGCCGAGTGGTTAGCATTGCGTACTAACTTTAAGATGACCCAGTTCGAAACCTTTTTCTATCAACATCAAAAAATAAGAAATAAATTAGTTTTCTCTAGTTGCGGTCGCCCACCGACAGGGATTGTCAAGTAGCGTGTTTTGACAAGAAATAAAAGCTGCTCATCAAAATCCATCGGCTGTTCGGAGGTGGTGTAGTATAAACTGTAGGCCTCTCCATTTGTTAGTAAAACATTCGAGAAGCAGCTGTTCCGAAAAAAACATGTATGTTTATGTTTGCTGGTCTAAAATTTGGGGATCGAGATATAGATCTTCCAAATATAGCCAGCTGTTCCTAGGTACCTTAAAGAATACGTGTTGACAACTTTCCAAAGTAACACTTTTTTATTGTTGTTTTACTTTCAGATAGTCGGCATTTTACTCATCATTCTCGGCAGTTTGGTATTGGAGGGCGTTGGTGATTTGAAATCGGATAGTGGCATTACATACGATATCAATGCCATACCAATAATCGTTATAGTTTTGGGTTCTATAATTTTTATTGTATCATTTTTCGGTTGCTGTGGTGCACTCAGAGAGATCAATTGGTGTTTGTTATTGGTAAGTGCGGTGCACATATTTCTTTTTTGTTCGAAAACCAATTATAACCTCAAAAATTTTGAATTTTTTTTTTTTACTTTCACTCTCAGTACGCGCTTTTCATGTTCATACTGATGTGTCTGCAGATAGCACTTGTCGTCTGGGTATTCTGTGAGAAAGATCAATTTCTCAATTCGATGAATACGATTGTACGTAATGCTTTCGATAATAGAAATACTGAAGCTGACGAGACAATGAATATACTACAAATTACCGTAAGTTGCAAATCTGCTCAGCAAAAGTACGAATAAATTATTTAATTTTTATTTTTTTGTTTTTACACACGTAAATATAGTTCAGTTGCTGTGGATATAATAATTACACGGATTATAGCGGTTCAGTGCCGCCTTCTTGCTGTGGCTTCGAAGAAACCGGCGCACCATGTCCGGCCACCATTTACACCGCAAAACCGGGTTGCCAAGCTGCATTTTATGACTTCTGGGATGATAATTTGGCGTATGTGAAAATCGGTGGCATTGTTGTGATTGTCATTGAGTTCTTGGCTTTGGTAGCTGGCTGTGGACTAGCCGGTTGTATGCGACGATCAAGCAATAGAAATCTGGCTTGATGAGTTAATGAGTTTGGGGGAATTCAATAAAGGAAATACATACGTATATATATGTTTACAATACGTACATTCATTCTCCCAACCATAAATGCTTGTTTCATTTAAAAATTGAATTGGCAATAAGCCAGGTGAGAGGTATTAATAGGGATTTAATTTTCCTAACTTAGAATCGAAATCTTTTTCGAACATTTATGAGAAAATGCAAACAAACCCGTATCCTGTAAAAAATGTTCATAAGAAAATGAGTTGCTTGCTATACACGATTCGTGTATACTCGACCAAAGCTTTCGATTTCGGCATTTATCGGCTTTCCGCTCATATATACTCCACATCCCATTTGTTATTGTTGTGATTGTATCCCCTAAAATGTTACCCAAAGTAGTTCTTTGGGTATTTTGCGCGAGGAGCAGCCTTTGGCCACATAAAGACCTAGTCTTTCTGTTGGTCCTGCGCAGTTTTGGATTTTAATTGCCTCTCACGACGGGGATGCCTTGCTGCGAGAAAATTCTTGAACTAATATCCCGGAGGAGTATCCTACCATTTGTCATTTTGACAGCCAGTGAAGTCGGAAAAAGAAAATGGAAGCAGTTTTCATTCATTTAATCAATGATGTTGGCCAGCAAGCTTTCGTGCATATTAAACTTTGTTGGTTGAGGGGTTGAAAGAGGGGTTGGAGCACCCGACCGTCAGCTGACGTACCTAAGCCTCTGATCAGGCTCATTGTACTCCTCCGTGTATTCCAACTAAGCGTGGTGAAAGATTCATTCGCTTGCATGCCCGCCTCCGTGATGTTGTAGCTGGGAGCGACGTGAGAGATGTGACCGATGTGTCTCAATCGACTGATGGTCGTACACTCGCAAAGGTAATGATCCTCCAGCTCTACACAAAGCATCATCGCCAGAGGAACCAACTCACACGGCTTTTCATTATCTTCTGCATTCGTGTGAACTAGGACCTCAGTGACGTTTACTGGCTTGGCTTGGTTGTATACAAGAAATCTTATAGATTCCTCTGGCGAAGCGGTCACCCATTAGTCGCCTTAGGTAACGATCACAAAGGGAGCTTGGCAGATAGAGTTGCAGTCATTTACAATAGTTTGAAGCTACCTTGGCTACCCATCACCGATGGTCTTGCTTTCCGCCCATTCATCCCTTCCTTCGTACGGAAAGAGTGAGTCGCTCGCATCTGGAAAAAGGCTTAGTTTTCTCGGTCGCACTGTAAATTTAACCCGAGTTTTCTTACAACTTTCTATATGCCGCCATGTTCTTCACTGTTTTTGAGCTGGACCCAACTATCTACAGCTGACTGCTTGTACTTTATGACTTCCAGGGCCTTTCTTGGGGTTATTCTCATCGCGTCTGCTATAACTAGGAGAGTTTTACTGTCAAAGACAATTTTAGATCGCAAACCCCGCTTTGGTGCAAAAGATCTTCTGAAGATATTCCGATTGTTCTTGCTGTCCCTACAGCAAAATTTTTTTCTATCTAGAATTACTTAGTGATACTTGACCTAATTGGAGGGTGTAATGATATTACACCTTAAGGGTAAAATCGCTGAAGTTTTGTCTTCCACGTGAAGAGGTAAACCTCTCATTTTTCTAGGGATTACAGTGAGTCCTTGTCTCTAAGCACAGTCAGCTCTATTACAGTGATGACCAAAAGCATTCGCATAACATATGATCTTTAAGTTTACCGCTACAAGTAGATGGTTGGTTGGTTTATAAATGTAACCCACAGTAGCGGGAAAGAGAGTGCCACGCGTGATTTCGTTAGTAATTTTAACACCCTCTCATTTCCTGTAGGAAGCAATCGCACACACGCTCCCAGCTTTGGCCTACAGAAGTGGAATTATGTTTTATGAAAGTAACGCCGGTCCACACATATCGATAGCGAAATGCCAGAAGCATTTACCTTATAGTCTGAACCTCGCACTAAAAGATTACCACTTGTTCTTGTCTTCTTGTCAATGGGGAACGATTTGGCTGGTGAAGAAGTGTTCTCGAGAGAAGCCCAAGAAAATGAACCCAACATTTTGCCAAAAAAGACACAGGTGAAAGAGACCTAATGCCATTGCCTCCATGGGAAGCTTTTATTACATTTCCGAAATACACTCGGAGGGGCCAACGCAAGTTGATTTTACCAGAATTCGTACCCAGAACCTTCCGCGTTATATATACACACTGCTAATCTCTGGGTTATTTGATACTCGGTTGTGCGATGGACGGAACAGTTATAAGTAACGACATAAAAAGAATCGTTTGGAAATGGTAAGGCTCATCAATAAAGAGAGCTCATAGTAAAATTAGGGGGAAAAAATATAAAAAAAAAAATAACGTACCTCCAACACAACAGCCCGGTAGTAATACGGCACGTTACGCACCCGATTTCTGTCGGTTAAGCATAATAAATTTGCTTTATATTATATTATTTCCTACTAGTACAATTTTTCATCAAATCCTCGCTTTAGAATATTTTCCATACTATCGAGAAGCGCTACAAAAATATGATGAAAAGTTTATACATTTGGAATTCGGTAAATTTACAGCTCATTTTACGCAACCATTTATTATCGCCTAAAAATATGCTATACTTATCGTTTACATACACGTATACATGCGACCACCCATTGATTGGAAAAAGGTTTTTATGAATTTTTTCGAGATAAGACTTTTTGGCCTGGAATAACTTCGCTATAGACACTATATAAAAAATATGATTAGATATTAATTGACAGTAGCGTGGGTGAGGTCTTTTGGAAAAAGTGCATAGAAAATAGCGAGCTTTTGCGAAAAACACACAGTAGTTGAGAAGAATAAAAGAATTTAATTTAAAACGAAAAAGAGAAATACACGAAAATGGATTGCGGTGGTGTTATAGTGAAATATATACTTTTCATATTCAACATACTCTTCGTAGTAAGTACAGAAAAGGGGGGCGAACGAGATAACAGCATGAGTAATCAGCAATTTGTGCAATGCCAGATAAAATTTTTTAAAATATTTTTTGAAAGCAAAAAAAGAAAAAATAAAAAAAAAACAAAAAAAAGAAAAGAAACGATAAAGAAGAAATAAAAAAGATGAAGCATTGATAAAATTCCTTATTTGTATTGAAAAATAAATATTCCGTTAGTTAGTATATTTTTGGTGTAGAGAAATCAATAGAAATTTAATCAAATACGCTTTTAGTACTGCAATTTAAATTTAATTTTTCTACGAAAGAAAAATGATTAATATTTGCATTTCTTCATCTGCTATTCACGAGTCAAATTACAAAAGTTTAGAGCGTTATCTACATACTCTTAATATAAAATAAATTTGACTTATTTTATCGATAGTGAGGCGCTTCTATCTTATCATTAATACCGAAAAATTTGTACAATAATTAATTGAAATATGTAGGTACAAATGTATATGCATATCTATGTATGAATAAATTTCATGTATGTATATTTATGTATCGTATATCTTTTTAATTTCGAGTGCATTTGTAATTACTATAGCAAAATAGAAAAAAAAACAGATAGATAAGTATGTGCAAATATGTATGTCGTATAAAAGATTTTGAGTTTTATTATTGAATGTTTACTTTTTGTGCGCTGGAAATAAAACAGTAAACGGTTTATCTATCAAATTTACGCAAAAATCTCAGTATCACTCTACTTCCCATAATTGCTGTTAGTGTGTAAAAAGAATAAGGAAAGAAATAATTAAGTTTTGAGCTTTGTTTAAACTATTAGTCAACATTTCTATGTCATTTTGGAAAAAACAAACTTTTATTTTATTATTTTTAGCAGACAAAATTACTAGAAATTTTGTATTTTATCAATATTTTCATTACACTCACTGTCACGAATTAACTAATGACTGTTGTCATGACATCATTGTTTTCTAATGACTGCACTTTATCACAACACATTTTAAAAAGTGAGTTTTTTCCTTAAAACAAAAACACAGTTGTTTTGAAGTTGTCTACAGTTAGTAAGTTAAAAAGAAATCTTTTTGTATCTACATACATATGTAGACTGCTGGCAAACAGTTTTAGGACACCTTTTTTCTTTTTATTTCATTTATTTTACTGAATATTTCTTTTCAACTTTACCTTCAATAGGTATGCGGCATATTGTTAATTATCTTCGGTTCCATATTGGTATCGCATATACAACAAGTTGGCAGCGTAGCGCAAACCTTAGAATCTAACAGCGTACCCATAGCTATACTTGTATTGGGATGTGTAATCTTCATTATCTCTTTTCTGGGTTGCTGTGGTGCAATACGTGAGGACACATGCTGCACAATGACCGTAAGTAACATAATAAACAAATACATAAAAACCTTGAAAATTATTATTCATTCTGAATTTCCAGTACTCAGTCTTCATGCTCATTTTATTCCTGGCACAAATAGCACTGGTTGTGCTTGTTTGGACACAACGTACCAAATTTCTCAATTCGATGGATAAGGTTGTTAATACAATTTGGAAGCAACACAACACGGATCAGAAAGTGATGGACGCCTTGCAATTGACGGTATTATTGAGCATGAGTAATCGTGTGCTTTAATTATCAATTACTTCTTTTATTGACATATGTATACAGTTCAATTGTTGCGGCTTAAATGGCTCCACTGACTACACATTCAATTTGGAGTCCGTACCAAATTCCTGTTGTGGTCCAAATGCCATCTCTTGTAATATGTTGGAAGCAACGAGCAAGGCTGGTTGCGAGCAAGCATTTAATTCATTCTGGGATAAAAGCATAAACATTGTACGTTATGCTGGCTTGGGCGTTGCTGCAGTTGAGGTTTGAGTTTTATGGCAAACCTTTAAAGTTTTATCAAAACTTTTAATTTTTTATAAAATTTTTTCAGTTGGTTGCATTCATCTTCGCTTGCTGTTTGGCTAATCAAGTGCGCAATACGAAAAGAAGAGCGAACTACTAGTAGTAAAATGATATTGCCATGAAGTTGTTATAAGCTAAATAGAAATACGTTTTCGAAATACAAACTCACTTGTGATTGTTTGTGCGCCTTCAATCTTAAACCTCGTAACAAATTAAATTTTAAGAATGTGCTATTCAGCGAGTAAATTTGTGACACATGTTTATTTATATATTTGAAATTGTTAAACACTATTGTAGAAATTTTCACAAATATAATACTAAATAAAGTTTATTTACTTTTGCGCCAGCGGATATTTCGAAAAGGAAATGTAAATAACTGTATACTTGTGGGTAAATCGGGCAGCACTGTAAATCAGGGTTGTTTCATTAGCAGTATAGCATGGCTTATCATTTTTGTTTTATTCATATAAGTTAATAAATTACGATCGAATTGATTATATAAGCTATTAAGAGCAGAAAAAACTTGCAAAAAATCTATTTTCGTTTTTGATAATAAAAAAAATTGTAATTACTTTTTATGTAACAGGAATACCAAAAATCGTATGTAAATAATATATCAAATTGATTTATCGCTTTGATACCAACTTAATTTTTTTTTATGAAAATTGCGTTAAAGATGTTTCAATTCCAAATTTACATTAATTATGAGTAAAAAAAATTGTTTCCACTCTATGTTTATTTGTTTCTTTTCTGAATGGATTGTGGTACGCTTATACTATATATATTTCAAAAAATTTAAAAAGTTTTATTCATTTTTCAGTAAGAAGTATTGTAAGTTATATTAAATTATAGAAGAGAGGCAAGACGCCCAAGCGAAATTTCCAAGAGAAATCAATTTTTTTTTACATTTTTAGGCTTAATAAACAAAATGCAGAAGAAAAAAAAAACCTAATTGATTTAATATTTCCAATTCAGTATTTATTCAAGCTTAAAAATATACATAAACATTCAAAAAATAGTTCAAAAGTGTACGTAATTGATCATATAAAAACGATATTATATTATTTCTGCCAATTCTTTTCCATTTAATTTTATAAAATATTAAAGAAAAAAAAATAATATGTCACATTTGAATATATTTAACGGTAATTTATGTGTCACCAAACAGGCTGTGCCTCTAAACTTTAAAGTAGAACACAAACTAATATTTACATTGCAACTCTGAATCGCATCAGTACTTGGCAGCACTTTGCTAATACTCTTTTTAGTTTGTGTATTTCGTATTTCTCTTCCTGATCTGTGTTGTGGCAGCACAGCACCATTCAAATTTGGAAAGTCAATCGCTTCGGTTGTGTTTTTTTCTGTTTCATACATAAATTCGTGCGGTCACGTATATACAAATAATTATACCAAAAGTAAACAAAAAGGATTACAACAGTCCAACTTAGGTATATAAGAAAAAGTGAAATAAATATTTCTTTTGTTGTTTTGTTTCGTACTATTTGAGCAAAAATGTTCTATGAATCCTCAAGTGTGTGCAATGTATGGCAACTGATACTTCTTTTTTATGTGCTACACACCAATTCTCCATTCATAACACAGTGGTTTTATATGTTGACGGGAGTGGGTAAATGAGAATTTCTGCGCATGGGATGCTGTATGGTATCATTTGTCCAATTGTATTTACGCGTCAAAATTGCGTCGCAATTAGACTAAATTACAAGGATACGCCAATACGTATGAAACAACGTTTGCTATCTTTAAGCAGGATTCACATTTTCTATCCTCAAAGTTTGAGAAAGCCAATCTATTTGCTGCTTTGTATGGTGGGTAGTGTAGAACGTGCTGAAGTGGGTCTTTGTAATGGCTGAAAATGAAAACAAAGCAAGATGCTAGCTTATGTACACCTATATATATTTATGAATATGAGTAAAATGTACAACAACCTACATACAGGATTTCCGTATTTTAAAAAACAAACGAGGAAAGGCAGAGAACACAAAAGCATAATAAACTATGTAAAGCTTTGTTGCAAACAAGTGTCAATGAACGCATGAGAGGATGCAGACGTTGTAGTAAAGCCTAGCAGCCAGCCAGTATTCACACATTTACACATGTACATATATACAAGGACAAAAAAATTGCAACAAGAGCAAAAAGAAAATAGTATTCTTCGGTGGATGCATGTAATCCAAGCGAATCTGCTCTTTGAAAAACTTCGAAATGCAATTGTCATTGACCCATTGTACTTTGAAGGTCACAGAAATTTATTCGAATATTATTATAAATTTTGTTTGGTGAAGCAAAATATGTTTGAAAGGTTTAATGAGACCACCAAAACGACAGTCTATTATTGCTCAATGTGTACACACTTGTGAACATACATGCATAGATTATATAAATTTATATGTACCTATCAGGTAGGTCGTATAGTAAAGCTGCCGCAGCTGGTTATACCGGTTTTGCGAAAATATATTTAAAAAGTAAAGCAAAGGTAGATTCCATATGTGCGTTTGTAGGTTTGTATTCATATATTATTTGCCAGTAGGAGTTGTGCGTTTGTTTTTGAATATTACACATATTTATGCGTATGCCATCAAGTTGTGGAGATTCATAAACGCATACACATGTAAATATGTATATCATATTATACTATTATACCACTGTGATGTAAATAAAGACAATAGAGAGTAATGTGTAGTTCATTGAGGATTACTAAATATTAATAACTGCCACATTGTCATTGAAGTGTTTGTTACAATTTAAATTTTATTTGCAATAAAATACACACATTCATAGGTACATGATGATAGCACAATGAGTCATCTTAAAGATTGCATCTTGATCAAAAATATAATATATAAATATCTGAGTGCTTCTAAATACTAAAAGCCAAGGGAATCCTAAAAAGATTTCCGCATGATGATGAGTCATAATGAAGTAATTGGCGTAAGAACTTTCTTTAACGAAATCGTTCAATAAAAGAGCCACCTAAATAAAAATAATCCTCATTGTTTACAAAGAAAGATGAGAGCCACGAGAGCAAAAAAGAGGAAAATAAAATAAGAAATAAAAAAACACAAACAAATAACATGTGAATATAATAAAACAATAAACAAGTCAAATAAAATAGATAATAAATTAATTAAAAAAGGAAGCAAACAAAATAAATTAATCAATATAAAAAAAAAACAAAAAATAAAAATATAAAGGAGAAATGCAAATAAATTATAAAAATGAACAGGAAAAGCCAAAAATATAAGATGAAATAAAAAATATAGTAAAAGGTATAGAAAATTAAATTAATAACAAATTTGAAAAAATTATGAAAATTAAAAAAAAAATAAAGTATTCTTAAATTTAGGATATATTTAAATTTAATTAAGGAAATTAATTAATCAATGAAGTTAAAATTTAAAAACACAGTTTTAAAAAGATTTTAAACTAAGAAAGAACTAAAAAAAAAAAATAAAAAAATTTAAATTTATAAAAAAAAAATTGGCAAATAGTTTTAAATAAAAAAATTAATTATAAACAATTAACTTGAAAGTTAAAAAATGTTTTTGAATATAAGAAATGTTTAGATTGAAAAAAGTAAAAAAAGTTAATAAAACATAAAATAAAAATTTTAGAAACACAAGCATAAAATATAAAAAAAAGAAAACGAAAATAAAAGAGTTAAAATAAAAAATAAATATATAAAAGAACTTGAAAAAATTTAAATAATATAATTAAAAAATTTAAATAAAATTAATTATAAAAATTTTACTTGAGATTAAAAAAAACGAATAAACAATTAAAACATATTGAAATAAGAAAAGTTAAAAAAAACTATTACAAATAAAAAATTAAGAAACTTAAATAAAAAATATATATGTAAATTAAAAAATAATAAAATAATTAAAAAACAAAAAATAATTAAAAAATTAAAAAACACTTAAAAAAAAATTAAAAAAATCAATTAGAAAATATTTAAAAAAATAAATGTAAGAAAATTAAAAATATAAAATTAAAGCAATTAAATACATTCAACATTCATTCACCATTAAATAACAAATTCAAATGAAATAAAATAAATTAAAAAAAATTTAAAAAATATTAATTAGGAAAAAAGGTATTTTAAAAAAATGTAAGAAACATTCACTAATTAAATTAAGAAAAATATATTAAAAATATTTAATAAAGCAAAAAATTGAGAAACAATTATTTAAAATACGTTTTAAACAAAAAAAAGAGAACTAGAAAATAATTTATAAAAAAATTTAAATTAAAGAAAAAAATTAAAAAACTAAACAAAAGTTAAAAAACTAAACAAAACCGTTATAAATATTAAAAGACAAAAAATTAAATAAAAATAATTAAACAAATTTTAAATAAAAGCAGTTCAAAAAAAATATAAATAAATAAATTGAAAAAACTTTTAAATAAAAAAATAACTTAAAAATTAAAATAAACTAAAAAATATTATATAGAAAAGAAAAAAATTATTAAAAAAAAAAAATAAAATAAAATGTTTAATTAAAAAAAATTTGTAAAATTTGGAAGTAACTTAAAAATTTAATAATATAAAATAAAAATTAAAACTAAAATAAAAAAGCTAAAAAACCTAATAAACTATTAGCTTAATTAACATTAAATTATAAATTTAAATAAAATTTTACATAAAAGCAGTTAAAAAATTAAAATAAGAAAAATTAAAAACTTTTCAATATAAAAATTGAAGAATTTTTAATTAAGAAAAATAGAAAAATAGCTTAAAAATTAAAAGAAATCATAAACAAATTTAGAAAATAGTAATTTAAAAAAAAAATAAAACTTATTTGACATAAATTAAAAAATATTAAAACATAAAACAATTAAATATTACAAATAAGAGAATGAAATATACAAAAAAAAAAAAACAAGAATTAATAAAAATTATTTTGTAGGCTCAAAGCTTATCGTTAAATACTTACTTACTTCCTTATTTATAGTTCTGCGCTTATGTTAATATACATACGTTTGTAATATTTGAATCTATTTTTTGTTTGCTTTTTTTACAGATTGAGTTTTATTCATTCGCTTCGTCAAAAGATTAAAATAAAAAGCTACCACAATGGATTGTGGCACATCTATGGCTAAATATTTGCTTTTCGCATTCAACACTGTTGTTTCGGTAAGTACTATATACTTACTAACTTGCCGGTCGACATAACATTTGTTCTTTTAGTTAAAAAAAAAAAGAAATAATTTTATATACTTTTTTTTTTTTTTTTTTTTTTTTTTTAATAACGAGTCAAACCAGCCAGTATTTTTTTTATAGAAAATTTCGAATAAAAGCAAATACTTAATTGCTTTGGTAAGCAAGATTAAAATATGTGTATGTATGTACGTATGAAGAAATATAATATTTTCAGTGTCAGTATATTTATGTACTTACATTTATATGTATGTTGTGATTAGCTATTGTATATGCTTCACATGCAATACAAACATGTACGATATGTATGTATGTACATTTTTTTTTTAAATTAACCGACAATCGCTGCTAATAGTTGGCTTTAAAGCCGGCTAAATTTGCTGTTTATCTTCATGTCGTTTTCGAGTTTCTTTTTCTACATACAAAAATCGCAAATATTCATTTAAGTGCTTGCATACTTACGTAAATACATACATGTTCTGCTAAGTTCACAATAGAATGGTTGAGTATGTATGTATATATATATATACAAGCATATGCATGTGTATAGTAAGTATGTACATATGTAATAATTGAAGATAATCGAATTTCGCTGATGATACTTTTTTGTTGTTGTTTTGCAAATAACATTAGTCTTGCTTAGTGCTAGACCGTGTGCTTTTTCAGGAGCATGCAGTAAAGCTGAAGATTTGTAAATTTGTGAAATTTGTAGAAATTAGTTTTCTTTAACTCTTATGATGACATCATCATCAGGATGTCTGCTTTTTGACTTAAAGTAAATAAAGGTTAAGATAAAATTTTGAAGGAGAGTTTTTACATATGTACGTACATAAACGTATACATATGTATGTATGTACATGGATAAATATGTGCAGTCGTTTGAATGTATTTAGCGACATCTTGAAGCACATGGCGACGTTTGTTTGAAATTAAAAAAAAAAAAAACAAAATAAACAAAGACAAATTAACCTTCAAATTTAATATGTACACATGTATGTATGCTCTTAAGTACTAAAAATTTATTATTATTTTTTTTGTAATTTAATCTACAAAATCTTTTTATCCGTTGTGTCAAAGCTATAAAATGAAAATTTGCAAAAATGCCTTCAACTCACGCCTTTCAATGGATTTCGTACTTAAATTACAGTAATTTAATTTTCAAATAAATCGCAATTTTCACAAACAGTTATGTTTTTATATTTTTTTTTGACATTGTTGTGGCTAAATGCGTGCTCATTTGGTTTATATAAAAATAAAATATGCAAAATACAGTTTGATTTGAATTAGAGGACTTCACAACAGTTATTTGTAATGCAAATCGTGTGCGAATTCACACTCATCAAAAGCTGATTGGTTTTCTCGTGAAATTTTAACATTTATTTCAGTTTATAATAACATTGTTAGTAATGAGTTAACTGCGTCAGAATTACTTTTGTAAATGATTACTTGCATTTTCTTATTTCGAGCTGATTTTTTCGATTTTATTTTAAATTGTTTTTACATAAACATTTTCATACTTCTTTTTGTTACTATGATGATGATTCATGTCGGCTGTTGTCAGTTTCCTCATGTAGGCTGTTATATATAGAACTAATTAATTTTTGTTGATATTCTACGGCACGTAGAATTCTAAGTATATTTTTTTACTTTCCCATTTAAAACTACAGTAAACAAAATTATATCATAAAAGTTTCACGCCATTCATACATATCTCCGTATATATGTATGTGCGCTGTAGATGTAGAGCATGGAAAAATAAAAAATTAATAAAATAATAAATAAATAAATAATATTTAAATAAAATATTAATAAAAAATAAATAAATAAGTAACAAATAAAAGTGAATAAAAATACGTAACATTTATTTATTTTAATATTAAATAATAACAAATGTTATAAAATTATAAACCGAATGAAAAGGTAAACTAAAACACAACAAATCTAAAAAAATAAAGATAAAAAATAAATATAAAAAGTAAAGATAAAAAATAAATATAAAAAATAAAGATAAGAAAATAAAAGTGAAAAAATTACAAAATAAGACAAAATTAAAAAATAATTAAAAAAAAAAATAATAATAATAAAACGGCCGAAAAAGAAATTACAATGAAAAACAAAAACAACAAAAAATAAATTAAACAATAAATAAGGAAACAAAAAGCATTAATAAGCATAAAAATGCCGAAGTAAAAAGATATAAAAAAAGGAAAAAATAAACACTAAAAAAGAATGAGAATGTAAATGAAACAAATAAAAAATAAATAAAAAAAATAAAAAAAAAATAAAAATAATTAAAAAAGGCAAAATACAAAATAAGGAAATAATTCAAAAAAATTTTAATAAAAAAGGAAAACAAAATTAAAAATAAAAATATCTAAAATCAAATAAGAAATAAAAAATTAAAATCAAATTAAAAATAAAAAGTTAATAAATAGTAAACATTAAGAAATTAAAATAAAAAATAAATAGAAAAAAATAAAAATGAAACAAAAATTAAAAAAAAAATAAAAATTAAAAAAATAAAATAAAAATAAAATAAATATAAATAAATATAATAAAATAAAACAAGAATTAAAATAAAAATAAAACAAAAATAAAAAAATAAAAAAGAAAATAAAAAAATAAAAAATAAAATTAAAGAAAATTCAAAAAAAATATAAAAGAAAATATAAGAATAAAAATAATTAAAAAAGTAAAAATAAAAAATAAGGAAATAGTTGAAAAAAAAATTAAAATTAAAAAAGTAAATATAAACATAAAGAATTAAGCAACTAAACACAATGAAAAAGGAATACACGTATTAATATTAAAAAAAGAAAAACTATTAAAAAGAGTTCAAAAATAATGTAAAAAACAAATAAAATAATAACAAATAGTCAAAAAATAAAAGAAAAATAATAATAATTAAGAAAAAGATAAAATAAAAGAAATAAATAATGAAAAGTAAAAATTAAAATAAAATAACCGAAAAATTAAAAATTTGACAATATTGTAAAAATAATGAAGAAAAAAATGTATAATTTTACATATTTGTGAGTAAAAAAATATAAAAATTAAAAATTAAGTAATAGTTAAAGTCTGTTCAAAAAAAATTTTATTATTTGCGTTAAGATAAACAGTCTTGTGTAGTTGGCAAATATAAATACAGGCACAAGGCAGTCGAACTGTATCTGCGCATACATACATACATGTGTATTTAAGGCATATCACTTCAGTAAATCCGACTTAATTTCCTTTAAATACACATTGATTACTATGTAGAGATTTTTACTGCCTGGCCGCTGGAGAGTTGATAAATATGCGCAATAATAAAATACAAAAAAAAAAAAAAAAAAAAAAAACGCATCAAAACGATAATACAATAATAATATATGGTAGAATACACAAATAATGCATGCAACAGTGAATGCTAGAGCTCACTGAAATACTATACACATATACACATGTATATATGTATCATAATTTATATCAATTTCCATACGTTGCACGATCTAATACCAATGTAAATATATATACATACATATATATATATATATATATATATATATATGAGTTATACTCATTTGTTTGAAAAATAATAGCAACCAATGAAAATATATGCACATTAAAATATTATCTTGGTTAGGTCTAATCAAATGAGGGAGAAACGACTGCATACATATGTATGTACATTTGTATATTGCCATTCCTCAAAGAAATTAGAATTTATTTAGATGATATCATAGAGGAAAATCTTCAGGAGATCAGCATATACATACATACAGAACTATGTACATACAGAGACATACATACATGCATTTTCTTTTATTTTGAAAGCAAATTAAAAATAATTGTTTTAGAATACATTCACCTTACAAGAATTGTACAAAAAATAAAACAATTAAATGACGACGCAGCAGCCTTCGAAAAGAGCGGTTTCTCTTGATTTTCTGATGCCTTCGAGTTTTTCCTAAATAATATAAAACAAATAAAAAGATAAAAAAGCAATGCCAATTCAAAAAAATTCAAAAAAAGTGTAGAGTCACAAAACAGTTCGTATCTGGCTAAACGTTCGTAAAAAAATATATACAAAAGGAATAAAATATGCTTAAAAAATAAGCTCACTGTGAGAACTGATAAATGTGAACAACTAGAGTAAAATAATTTAAAATAAGCATGGCAAAGCAAAAAAGTGAAAACTGAAAACGCCGGCACAACACGAAATAGATGAAATTAATTATAAAAAATTAACGAAAAAAAAACATAGCAAACCAGAAAAAAATGTCAAAAAAATAATAAAAAGTAATAATTATATAAAAATAAATAATCAAAAAAAATTAAAAAATAATAATAAATAATAATAAAAAATAATAATAAAAAATAATAATAAATAATAATAAAAAATAATAATTAATAATAATAATAAATAGTATTAAAAAGATGAAAAAGAAAGTATTAAAAAATATAAAAAATATACAATATAAAAATATATTAAAAAAAAATAAAAAATATACAATATAAAAATATATTAAAAAAAATAATAATAAAAGATTATTAAAATAATAAATAAGGAATAAAAACAATATTTAATAACAAATTATTAAATTAAAATATATTAATAAAAAAATAAAATTAAAAAATAATTAATAAAGTAATAATAAAATAATATTATTAAATAAAAAAAAAATGATAGTAATAAAAATAAAAAAAAAATAATAATAAAAAAATAATAGCAAAAATAAACAATATATAATACAAAAAATAACAATAATTAATACAGAAAATAACAAATAATAAAAAATAACAAGAAATAACTATACTAAAAATATAAAAAAAAAATAAAAAACACAAAAAAACATAATAATAAAAATATGAAAAAGAAAATAGTACAAAATATATAAAAATATATAAATATAATATATCATAAAAAAACAATATTTAATAACAAAATATAAAATTGAAAAATAATATTAAAATAATAAAAAAATAATATTAGG